GTTTTACACAATTGTGTCCTTAATGTTCCATGGCGCGATTCGTGCCCCAGCAAACGAGAATGGATTAAAATGGATTTAGATTTTCAGAAATACGGATTTATAAATGTTATAATAAATCCTTTTCAATCCTAATGCATTTTTAGGAATTCATTTATAGGAATTGCATAGAGCATATTTCTATGCCTTTCCATCTAAAAATAATATTAGCATTTTCTGTGCATCATGAATACTACTCAATTCAGAAGTGAATAAGGAATTTTTTTAATTCAGTTAAATTCAAAAATAATATCAGCAATTTCTGTCCAACGTAAATACTGCTCAATTCAATATTCTGAATATGAAATGCAGTTTTTTAATCTAATTGAATAAAATTTTTTTTTTTTAATGGACCATAAATGCTACTTAAATTATTCAAAATTATAAGTAGAAAATTTATTTTAATCCAACTAAGTTCAAAAAAGTTGTAATGTAAAAGTAATTGAGCTATATTCTTTTATTTCTCTTTGATTAGAAGTAAAATAAATGATCAATGTGAATACTTGCAAACCAAGTCGAATACAGGCTAATCACCGAATATTAGGCTAATCACGGCGCGCGACATCGACCCAGCGAGATTAGATTATCCGACACTTACCCAATGTTGTCTCATAGTAATGTAAATTGTTTATATTTTATTATTTCTGTTAAATGATGATATTTTTATTATATCTATACAATTTCGTTACTAGTTTAGCTGATTGTAATTGAAGTAGAGAATAAATAACACATTTAGTAATTGAAAAAATTGTGTAGCGGATAATATAGAAGATTCATAATCCAGAGGTCCCAGATTCAAATCTTACTAAGGTGTGTTTTTTAATACCAATTTGAAGTAATTAATTTCAGGTTATTATAAATGTCTTAGGAATAAAATTTGTAACCCTTACATATGAATGTTTTTTTTTTCGAATATTAAACTAGTATCAGCTCGGATCCAATCTATTTCAATCTATTTTCATGGATTTAAAATACGCTTTAAAAAAATTTTAATCCATTTTAATCTATTCTTGTTTGCTGAATGTGATTGACGATCCGCTTACGCACGAACCGCTCCGTGGGACATTAAGGACACAATTGTCGCGTATGTAAAATGGCGGTGAACGGATCGTTAGCGATTGTAGAAATGCTCCTTAATCTAAAAGGTAGATACATTAATCTATAAGGTAAATACGATAGTATATCAATAATTATATCAATAAATATGTAAATTAAATTTGTAGGCTAAAAACGGCAATTCTGGATATCTCGTAGCGTATCGGACTGAGGAAAAACTAGCCACTATAAATTTATCCAGAATACTGCGGATATTGGAGTCAGCATAGTCGCGCATAGTTCCAACTATTTCTAAAATACAAAAGTTATAAAGGTCTTTACGATTTGTAAAAATCTCTATTTTATTATGTTATGTTATATTCAATAATTTAATATTGGAATTTTATTATAGGAGGAATTTTTATAGGAGGAAATTGCCATCGGATGTTGTATCCACATCACCGAAAAGCACACTGATTTTAACATTTGTAAAGTCCTGAAGATGATAATATTCAGTCTGAAGGATTAAATGCATTTCCAGTTTGTATAGAATCATTGTATAATAATGGTATTGAAGTTCAAAATGCATTTTCTGATTTTTTTATGGATGCTGGTGCAACATTTTTTCAGTGGAAAAAGACATTGAATAACGATTTTTAACACATTAAGGAAATGATCATAAAAAATATATATACTGCATTTGAAAATTAGATCTTTTATTTAGAAAATATTCTAAGTATATTTTATAAATAAAAAATGTAATTTTCAAATGCAATACATTTTTAAA